TACTGGCCAATCAGTGTTTATTTAGAATTTGATTGACAGAATACAGACAATTCTCCCACACCATCCTGCTCTCCCTGTAGATCTCACAAGAGCAGTGGCATTACCCGCAGATTGGGAAGATGTGTTGTGGGTGTGGGCTATGCTCGGTCCTTAGTCCTCTACACTTGTCAATTATATACAGGATGAGGGGCTGTGGTCCCTTGAACATGGGGTATCTGTCTCTTTCCACGTTTCTCTCTGCTATTGCTCTGGGGATGGATGCCCTGGAAACTGTCTCCACCTAACTCCTACTTAAGTTTAGTTGAATTCTGTCTATTCCCTTAGTGTTTTTCTCCCATATTTTCAGGTTTCAGTATTCAATGAAGTTTGACGAAAGGAGGGTTGTGTATTGAGCAAGATACACAGCTTCCTAGATAATCTCTAGGAAAACTGTTTCTATGTGCAATAATTTGGTCTTGACACTAGATGACCATCAACAGGTTGCTAAATTATATTTGGGAGTCGAATGGGATGCCCCTGGGTGTTCATCTGTCATTCTTAGCCTCCATTCAGTCAAAGAAAGCACCATGTCCTCTCCTTACCTTAACCCGAATTGCTGCTTCCGAATTATGGAGCGCTTCCCACAGAAAGTCACTGACTGAGGACCTCAGAATCACATGTCCTTCACAGACTCATCCTCCTGCTCCAGCTCCTCCTGCAACATTGGGCTGGTAACAACTTTTATTGCAAGAACTGCTTACCGGTGTCCTGGAATTGGAAGATGTCCCACATTGCACACATCAGTAGTGTGCTCAGTACTTCCTGTCGAGGGCTGAGGACTGGTGAAGACACAGGCTGTCCTGGAGAGGGACTTCAGCCTCCTGCTTAATCCAGATCAGTCACCTCCAACCCTCTGTGCATGTGTTCATGTTGGGGCAAGTGTGTACATGTGTATGTTGGAGACCAGAGGTCAACATCAAGTATCTTTCTTCATTGTTCCCCACCTTACTTGTTTTTGGGGGGAAGGGACAGGGTTTCTCTGGATCCTTGGTTGTCCTGGAACTCGCTCTATAGACCAGACTGGCCTTGAACTCACAGAGGTCTGCCTGCCTCTGCCTCCCGAGTGCTGGGAGTAAAGGCATGCGCCACCACCGCCCCGGCTCCCACGTTACTTTATGAGGCAGAGTCAACTGAACCTGTAACTGTACCAGTTTAGCTAGACTGGCCAGCCAGCAAGCCTCTGGGATTCTTCCTTTCTCCAACTCCCCAGCATTGCACAATGCCCAGCTTCTACATGGGTGCTAGGAATACAAACTCAGGTCTCATGTTTGCATATCCAGCAACTGAGCTGTCCTCCAAGGCTATCAGCCATCTCCAATCTCTGTCTTCTATATGGGGCTTAAGAAAAGGGTCACACAAAGGAAGCTGTCACAGGTCCCTGCCTGTCAGCTATCTTTAGGTCACCTTGATGTTCCTAATTCCACCCTAGTCAAACGCCCACTGTTGGGGACACAAAGATTCATAAGCCTGGTCATGTCTAATAGGTGACATTAGCTAACTAATTGTGGCCTTGGGTCCACAGAGGAGGATGAAGATGCTGATGGAGTCAATTTATGAAATAAGACCCTCAAGACTATTCCCTTGTCTTTTTTTTTTATTTATTAAATATTTCTGTCTCTTCCCCACCTCTGTCTCCCCTTTCCCTCCCCCTCCCCCCTATTCCTTTGTCTTTATTTGCCCAGAAGAAGTTCAATCTGATGTCATGGCCACAGTCTTCCACACTGGCATTCACAACAGATTCCTAAAGCCCTTGGATCTGCAGCCTGGACAGCCTAGCTCTGTCTTTAACCTCATTCCAAAGCAGCACCTATTAGAGGGTTTTGATTGTCACCCTCAGGAAGAAATGGGTTCTGTGCTATGCCCTGGAAATATAGCCACAAAATAAAAATTGACAGTTTCCAGGAAAACATATCTCAATTGCTGAAATTAATTTTGATGTGTTGTTTTATGCCCTACTAAGAAGGAAGGGGGAAGGAAAGGAGGAAAGAAGGAAGGAAGGAAGGAAGGAAGGAAGGAAGGAAGGAAGGAAGGAAGACCAAAAACCAAAAAAAAAGTAAAATACCAAAATACTCGAACAGTGAGACATTAACTGCTTAGAGGCTGAAACAGTGATTTGTGATGCCTTCTGTCCTAAATAAAACTTAACTCCCAAGACCCCTGATACCTCATTAAAATGACCAGCCTTGAGAAAGACAAACCAAGTTATAAAAATTATTATAATAAGAAAGGGAGAATCCCTTCCTGTAGAATCCTTCCCTTTAATGATCCCTTACTACGAGGATCCCTCCCTGTAAGGATCTCTTCCTACAAGGATCCCTTCCTATAAGGATTCTTTGCTACAAGGATCTCTTCCTGTAAGGATCCTTTCCTATAAGAATCCCTTGCTATAAGGAATGATTCTTTCTCTGAGAATTTGCTCTCTGAGCATCTGTTCACAGTGATTATTCTTTATTTTTTTTTAAAAAAAAACTTTTATGTCAATTCTGAGCAGAAAATACTTCCCTCTGTTCCCATGGCTCTTACTTCCCAGCATGACAGAAGGGGAAAGAGAAAAAGAAGACTGAGTGGAACCACAAAGTTGGTCTCACTGTCCAGTGAGTCACAGCTCAGTCTGAGAAACCCTGCCTGGGGACTGGCAGCCTAGTTTAGATGCACCAGAAAGGAATACTGTGGGTGGCTGCAAATACAGGCATTAGGAACAAGCTGCAAATTCAAGCCCTCTTCTCCCACTTACTATGTGTGGGGATTTGGGCAAGCGACGTATTCTTTCTTTGCCTCACTTTCTTTGTCTGAAAAATGGGATGACGGCAGTAACTCTCTCCCACAGTTGGTACAAAGATTGAATAAGGTCAAAACATGTGAAAGTTTAGAAAATAGGCATCTAATAGGGTTGTCTAAAAGTATGAGCTGAGAGCAACATCATCACCACCATCACCACTGTCATCACCACCATCTTCATCACCACCATCTTCA